TCGCTTCCCCTTATTATATCTTCCTAAAAAATCGTGGTCTAATTTTACTATTTTTTAAATCACAGATTTTGTATTGTTCTACGATTTTTTTTGTAATTTTATTAAAAAACAAGTATAGGCCTAGGCCTACTACGCTAATTCGCAAAATATGGTAATTCTAGGTGATTTTTAACTACTTGACCGTGATTTTTTTTTCGGGGTGGGGGGGGGACTAGGAGAGCGACTAATTTTCCCCTAGATACGCCACTGCAGGCAACAACTTTCAAACTAACTAATGAAAGAGCTCATTTTAATAGCAAGACGAAATCTTAGAGATCCGGTAACGCGGATGAATATTAAACTGCCCTCTGTCTTTCAAAAATATATTTTCCCCGGAACACATAAAAGACCATTATTCGGCTAACTAATATACTATAATAATAACTACATTTGTCGTTAACGTCTAGCGATAAAAAAATTGAACTGTAAATTTTTAAGAATACGAACGGGTGTAATTTTGAAGTTTTAGCTACAACTAAAGTGCTTTTCAAGAATACCAGGGTTAAGCTTCAAATGTTGCAAAACAAAATGGTTAGATTCATATTAGATAAATATGAATTATATTCTCTAGAACTGCTGAATATTGAAAACCATGTTAAACAACTATAGGCCTAAGGCTTAGTCATGTAATAAACTTATTATAATAGATCAGTTCCGTAGGCCTACTTATATAAACATTTTATCAAAACCAGTAACGTACATGGTCACAACATCCACATTAGGAACTATAATTTCTACGTGTCAAATGCGAATGTTTTAGTCAAAAGCACGTTTTACTATACAGCTTTTAAAGTTTGGAATCAACTACCAACATCAATTAAAGCCACTTCTATATTGTTATTAATATATTTACAGTAAAGTTAAAAAACACATTGCTACTTGTCCCACAAATGACCAATACATTAAATGTTATTATTATTATACATGGTTAAATAGCATAATTCACCAGAGTGAAGATCCTTTTTGTTTCTTTAACCTTTTTACTGATCAAAGGACCCAATTGGAAATATGTCATTCCTAGATTTTTAGTTGGTTGGATTTTACAGTTAATTATGAGCAATCATTATCCAGTATAATATTTGATGTGCTGTAGTTACGTTGATGTGTTGCCACTTGACGAAATGGAATATGTGCGATTCCTGGGTTTTATAGTCGTTGGCAACTTTGATGGTTAGATGTTGACTTTTGCAGTTAAGCACGAGTTTGTCTATGTGTTTCATAACAGCATGGAGCTATGAAATTACAATTCCCGTTTTTGGTCCGCGCCTACACCTACAAAACAAAACAGGGGTGTCAGCACAAATTGTACATTATTGCCATTACCACATTAGGGCATGTCGCATGAATGGCGCGGTCGTTTAAGGATGTGTTCTAAAGAACATATGGATGTGTTCCAAAGAACATAAGGTTGTGAGTTCGAAACGATCGTCTTGGTATTCCATTTTTTTTAAAATTTCAAGCATTTTAATTTTGTACGTGATCATTCTAAATAATTTTTTGTACATTATTGCCACTACCACTAATAGTTCGCGGTCGGTTAAGGATAAGTTCTAAAGAACTGAAGGTCGTGAGTTCCAAACGCGTGTTGGTATTGAATTTTTTTTTTCAAATTTAAGAATTTATTTTTTCCAATTTGAAGTATTTTAATTTTGTACAAATGATAATTCTAAATAATTTTTTTTTCGTATAAATAAACATTCTAATTATTTAAATTTTTTTATCTTATTAGCTCTTCCAAAAAACCTAATATAATAACTTGCGCCTGTACCGTATTTAAGCATGGAGGAACGCGCGGACCTGGTGAGCGGTCGCTCTTGTTTAGCATACGCTATAGCCTAACATAATTAGATTTACAACAATTAACTTCAACACGTTCTGAAACTCGATTTTAAATGATGACATCATGGTTACGTTTAGTGGAATATATCTACATATATTTTACAGGCGTTGTCAATTTGTATTACTTTAGACAGATTTTGATGTACAGTTAACATGAACATGTGTATTAGCCAAATTGACGTACTATCAATAAGATGACAGGGGCCAACGATAGTGACGGCGTCGTTTAAGATGTTAAATTCCTGCCAATATGTGTACATTTTGTTAATGTGTGGCGGAGAGAATATACAGGGAGATTTATAGCATCCGTCTTTTCGCTTCAATTCTTCGAACTGGTGTTGAATACTTCAACATATCTCTTTACTTATAGGACTATTGTAGAGTATAAACAAAATTAATTGAATTCATGTTTATTATTAATAACTATTTTTTAAACTGTTGTAGCAAAGAAGAATCTTCATTTTTCAGTCAGTTTAGGCTCAATATAGAATCGACTTTTTGCAACTCGCTTGCTTTGATTGTTCAAGTAAACAATTATGTATATTCTCAGTACCAATACCGAGTAATCGTCTTGAAGCACATATCATAAAATCATTTGAAGATATGAATATGGAATTTAATAAGTCGGATGCACATAATGAGAGCTCGTTGACAGATTACATTTATGAAATTGTCAATAAGGATGCTTTCTTTCTGTACGCAATACCGACTCTGTACGTATTATGTGCAGTGACAATTCTTGCAAACATATTTGTAATGGTTTTAATTATCGCCAGTAAGAAACTCCGAAAAAAACAAAACGTCTTTATAGGTTTGCTGGCTTTGGCTGACGCTACATATACAATGTGTATATTAATAATTTATGTATCTAGTATGCTAATAAATATTAATGTCTCTTCCGTGATAGTTCCAGTACAGAACGTAGCGATTTTGATATCAATTTGTTCAATTGCTTGTATTGCTATTGATCGCTACATCGCACTTGTGTGGGCACCGATGAGATATCACCTTATTGTCACTCGGAAATCTTGTACAATCGCCGTCCTTGTTGTGATAATAAGTCAGACGAGTGTTGCGCTTTTTCTCTTTCTATACTGTGGGTGGTGCAGCCACGTTATGCTTATAGTTATATCATTGTATATCGCAGTGAACACGACTCTGTATATAACAATTTACAAAAGTATTCATAACTACCGAATGAAAGTCCCTCGGTTGAAACACACATTTAGAGAATCCAAAAGATTGCTGGGAACGTTTAGTATTATTGTTGGAGTGTTAATTTTAACGTGGGGGATGGTTTGCTCTGTCTGTCTTATTCTTTACTATAAAGGGATATTATCAAATACATATACCTATACGTCTATTATTATATATTATTTGTCTTATTGCTTGACAACGATTAACTCTCTTGCTAATCCAATAATTTACTGGTTTCGGCTTACTGAATTTCAAAAGGCAGTTAAAGATATGAGTTGTCTCAAGTGTTAGAGGTACCTTAGGTTGTTCTAGGTTGTAAGCAATATAACCTGACACTTGAACGCATGAGCCTATTCAAACCCATCATTATTATTCTTTATATTTAACTAGATGGTGCGATCGTTTTGCTCGCTTACACTCTAGTTTGTTAAACATTGCGAATAGTTTTGATAAAATAGAACAATTATTTATGACCACTAAAAGCTGGCCTAATTACAGACGGACGGAAATTTATCACTGGGCCCAGACCCCAACGTTCAGGTTACCGTATTTTTCCATGATAACTCATGGATAAATGTGGTGGTGAAGGTTATGTATATGCATGTGTCAATGCTTAACTTTAGTAGTCATATTCGTGTTGATGGTTGGGTGTATATTTATGTAGGATAAATGAAGTGAGGCGATTAGTTTATAATTACTATCCATTTCTTTTAGAAAGAATATATTTGTGACATATTGAAGATACTGTAGATCGAAATTCAAAGTTTCTACATAGATTAGACACTTTATGTTAATATGCTGCAACTTTATCTGCTCGACGAGGGGACCTTAACGTTCTCGCATGCACAGATGAATTTTAGTGACGTTCTACGTCCTACCGACGTTGTTCAATCGAAAGCTCCCTGTTGTGAGGAATTAGGAGGACAGCTAACCACGTTGAAAACGAAGTTCAAAAGTGTTAAACTGTGAGGCCATTAAAAAAATTGTTGATCAGTGTAGCGATTTTTTTCCCCGTACGAAACATTTGCATGAAACTTCACTCGGGCATCTCGAATTGACTTGACTGAGTTCGATACGAGGAACAAGAGCAGACACTTCGCAATGTCGTGACGCTCGAGTTTTACCATTATTGCTCTTCCTATGTTTCCCTACGGATTTATGGGATGTACGTGTGTAACTAACTGTGACCTTCTTGGTAGGCAGGAAGGTTATCAACAACTTATATTTTGCCTATTTTTACCGTATTCAATCGTGTACACTTTCATGTTCATGGTTTTATGTAGGAAGGCCACTGTTAAGTCTAGAAATAATTAATTGTTTATTGAGCGCCCTCTATAGTTTGAAAAGTGGAAAATTTGCTGGGGGTAGGCCTAGCCAGCGTTACCACTACTTGGGTATTTACCCAAGATCTTGGGTATTTTGACTTGGTCTTGGGTTCTTGGGTATTCCGTTCAAATCCTTGGGTATTTAATTTTTACTAAGAAAATTAAATATTTTTGTCATAGAGGAAGAATTAAGAAGTAACAAAGTATATTTCAGTCCATTCAAGTAAGCAAATCTCATACGAAGTGCACATAACATTGTTAATTGACTGTTAATTGCTCATAAACATGGGTTCAGAATTGTTAATTTGCGTTGCCATTGATCTTACCTAATTAATGCATTACATAATAAAACTTGATCACTGATCTACACTGATAACACTGGCCGACTGAGGGCGTATTTTTCTATCCGTATTATTACCTCATGAATATTAATTTTAATAATTAACACAAACAATTACAATAAAAAAAGGTTTATAAATTGAACTAAAAGGGAAACTATACATTCGAAAAACACGTATTTTTCAAATTTTAATGCATTTTCAGGAAGCTTGGGTAATTTTGGGCAATTTTTGCAGAATCTTGGGTAATTTCGACCCAGTCATTGGGTATATCAAAAATTGTGAGTGGTCACGCTGGGCCTAGCAACGACGTAGGATTCACGCTAGCAACGTATACGTTAGTGTTGAGGCATAAAAGCCAGAATGATTGATGTTTGAATGTTTACAAGGTTTCTGTAATAGGACAGATAAAGGGTGAGTTTTATACGAACCTATGAATATTGCATAGTTAAGATTTAATGATGATTTTTTGAGATATTAGAATTTTAAACCAAGCGTTGATTACCGCACGTACGAACGTTGCGCGGACGCCATATTTTCTGTACACTGTTATACGTAGCCTAGGCCAGTTACACCGAGCTAAACTTTGTACATAAATTTCACAATAAGACAGTGTTTGTATTATTAATATAACATTCATTTATTCATTCAAAATGATATATTTATTCAAAATTCAAAATTCAAATTAAGACATAAAACATAGCAGCCAAAAGGCTGAATTGCGAATTATGTTACTATTAAAACCATTAAAAAAATCAAACGGCAAAGATAAAAAAAAACAAGAACATCAAAAAAGAGAAAAAAATTGCATAAGGATCGATATTCTATCCAATTCGTCATGATTATTATTATTGTAATTATTATTACTATTAATTTATATTAGTTATGAATACTAATATAAAAAAGATCAAAAAACATAATAACAAGTAGATCAAAAAAAGAGAAAAAAGGATTGCACAAAGATCGAAATTTGTCATTATTATTATAATTATTATTATTGTCATTATTATTATAGTTAAGAAAAGTAAAACAAATCAAAAAGGACATCATAACAAAAAAACAATAATATAATCAATATTCTTGTCATTATTATTTATTATCCTTATTATTATAACTGTAATTAAGGATTGTCATTAAAAATATCAAGAAACATAACAAATGAGAAAATCACAAACATCAGAGAAAAATTACAATATAGAAAAATACATTGAATAAATAGCACAGGGACCAAAAAGGAAGGCAAGGGGGAGGGGGAATCATTGAAACGCAAAAGGGCAATAGCATGCATCAAACCCCCAGGGGGAGAAGAAAGTTATTAATTATTAATCATTGGAGTTAATTAAGTTAACAAGGTATGGTAATGGGCTGTTTTGATATCTTTTCGTTCTACAACGAGGTATAGTAAATTTAGTATTGCACCTAGTATTATAGGAGTTGACCCTTGGGGGAGCGAGCAAGTCATGAAGTTTAGAATACGGATGAACAAGGGTTTTTGCAAAGGAAACGCATAGGTTATGTCGTCTATCAGACAATTTGTCCAATTGGAATTGGGATAGTGCGTCGTCATACGACAAAAAATTAATACCCAGGATAATTCTACATGCCCTCTTTTGGACTCGCTCGATGCGGGAATCCCAAAGTTGTTCTGTATCCCTGATTTATGATAAGCAGCTACGTTATAGAAAGCATAGATAAAAATAGGATATAGTCTTGAAATAATGGTATAAATGTATTATCGTACTATGAACAATTCGATCGGATAACTTGATAGAACCTTGAGGAACGTCGCTGTTCATTTTCTTTCTTCACGCTTGAGTGAACATCAACATGAATATTAATTAGGTAGTTGAAGATTGGCTATTTACTATGTATTGGATGTATTATTTTGATTTACAGCATATAGACTTTTGTATTATGCATTAATTGTATTTCAGATTGGATTTATGATTCAATGAAAACTTATGTACAGTATAATGATGCGGAGAGATCAAAATTTACGGTATGGCAAGAAATATTGATAGAATCTGTATAATTAGATAATCATAGATAATTAATAATCATTTACATACCATGATTATAACCTTTATGATGAATCGTTTAATTAAATCTGGATGCTTTGTAACATATCTAGGAAATTAATGAAGTGAACTTTATAGGCCAATTACTTTAAATGAGAATGTTTAATGAGCTGCTTTGGTAATTAGGCATAGCAAATGACATTGTGTTGAATTATTGTAAGGTTTGTTTTTTGTTTGCTTCTTATAGCAACGCCAAATTGTTCAAGAGAAGGAATTGAATAAAGTCCTCGTGTTTGAATACTCCGTCGTCTGTACAGCCACATTGGAAATATGTTTTAATATTACATGTATCACTTGGTGTTATTTTTTTTTTTTTTTACAGAAACAACGCAAATGTTACAAAGTCGACTTGGTTTGAGACACATGTACTTTAACATTTGTTGCCTATATATTTTTTTTATTAGTGCTTAAATTAAATGGAGATTTATGAATTTGAATAAATGAACATATACTGAACGTTCTGGTCAAAAGTGTTACCGTTTTTGGTTTTTTGCCGTTTGGTCATTGCCGTTTTGACTTATTGCCGTTTTGGTTTATTGCCGTTCTATCTAGAAACCCCTCTTAGTCCAGTAAAAATGACAACCATGGTATGGTATAAGCTCCTACCTCAATGAAACTCAAACCGTAGGTCCTTGGACAGATCATATATTGATTTTGCGTCGTACAAAAAGTGGGATTTAAGGGAAAAAAAATCAAGTTTTATAACCTGATTAGCCGCTTGTCACCGTCGATTGTTTACCTCAATAAGTGACGTCATGAGGCTAAAATAACGATACGCCATTTATGTCTCTACAAAACTTATTAGATAGGCCTATATGATACGTTTGCGAATATCACAATGCATTTTGGTACAATATAAAAACGTAAATATTACGATATATTTTAAATCATAGTCAAGGCGAGAAAAACTATAAATACTTCAGAGTCTGATAAATAATAAATGTGGCCTTCCATATAAAATAAACTTCGCCCTCAATCGGATCACTATATTTTAACAATTTTTTAACAAGTGAAGCGACGGTACCCAAGAGACGCGGTATAAAAGTATTTACATGAGGTATAAAAATAAGTTTGTACAGTATAACGTCCGCTACCGACTACCGTAATTTATCACACATATGGACCTATGGAGGGGTCCGAGGTC